GGCCACTGAGCTGGGTTAACTCCCAGGTTTGCCTCCGGCCTACTGTGTGACTTGGGCTGATCACACCCTCGCCATTCACCTTCTTTTATAAGATGGCCTCTCCTATACAGCTTTAATCAACCGATTACAAATCCTGGACCAATTAAGAGCTGTTATTCTCTTTTTTTTTTTCCTGTATTGATAATAAGTGCAACCTGGTACTAAATCCTACAAGAAATATTAAAAGAACAGGTAAGCTGTCGACACAATTCAGCTAGTATGCCCCAGCAGTATATTTAAACTGCTATTCAAATGACTTAAAACAAGCACTGCATTACAGCTGCTATTCTTTAAATAAAAAGGGAGGCAGAAAGGAAGTTGCAAGTGCTACCTTTATGCCTAAGTTTATATCCAGAACAGAAGATTACTTTAAGGAAAGTGTAGGAGGCAAAGGGAAGAAAACACAAAACCAAAACCTGAACATCCTTTCAATACAACCAGGTTCACCCGAAGGCCTTGGCCCAACGATGGATAGAGGTCCATGAGCAGTGAGGCAGAACTGGGCCCAAGCTGGAGGCCTTTAGGCGAAGCCTATCCAGCAGCACGCAGCCGGCCCACGTGCCGCTCCAGACCGTGCCACCTCCTGCAGCAGGGTCTGGGCTGCCATCAAAACCATCTCCCGAGAGAGACCCCAGAAAAGGCAACAAATACAGTCAGAAAGCGTAATCAGAATTGCCCCTTCCATTTCTGTTCTGAAAGGTGACTGGTTAGGCAAAGATTTTTTTTTTTTTTTGGTATGATTATAATGCATCTAATTTGAGTACAGTCAAAGCTTTACAGATATCTGATTTATGTGACCTGTTTCCCACTCACCAACTACGAGAAACTTGCCAAATGATGCCACGAAATTCAGCCAGATTTAGCCAAGCGCAAAGTGGTCTCATTTATGGTTAGGTTTAACTAGGATTCAGAGTCAACCAAGGAACTCTACAGTGTTAGTTACAACTCTTCCATCTCAAAATGTGAAGTTTTAGCCATGGCTTCAGCCTCACTAAGAGGAGGCTCAGGATGTGTTTGGCAGCATCTGAAAGCAAACACGAGTTTTAAGCAACTGTGCCCCACAGAAGAGAAAAAAAACCCTTAAAGCTCACTAAGCAGGTTGGAGGAAAAAAAAATAATTAGTGTCCTCCTAGTAAACATTAAGAGGATCTGCACTACCACCAGTAGCACTTCCTCAGGGTAGGAGGGATGATGTCATGGCTGCACACTACAGCATTGTCGGGTTCGTCTGGCCACACGCTGCTAACGGGACACTCCCTACAGAACTGTGACCGCACATTCAGTTTTCCTGGTATCAGCAATCAGCTTAATAAGTGTTCAGAGACCCACAATTAGCATATAAACACAGTATAACCACCAAGCAAAAGTAGATGGGGGGGGGATAAAAAACAGAGGAAAAAAAAAAAAAAACGCAAAGAGGAGACAGCTGTAACAGGGTGGCAAATACAGCTCCAAAGCATGAAAGAGAGAAAGGAATGTGGTTAAAAGATCTCCCCTAAGGAAGAATACTCGGTACGCCCGAGCTCCAGCTGTTTGAGTTGCCCCGCTCCCTCCTCCACTCCATTATCCACTCTGGCTGTGCTAATTTAACACAAACCGCCCGCCTGCGTCAACTGTCGAAGGGGAAATTCGGGAAAGGCGGCCTCGGATGCGTCTGGGCTCCCGGTGCAGAAAGGAAAAAACTTTGGGACGGAAAGTTCAGGTGCCTTTGGCGGCTTTGTGCCGAGAGCTTAGGAAGCTGCGAGAGAAGGCGGCGAGAGCCCTTCCCCGCTGCAGCCTCTACCGACCAGCACTTTGCCACCGCCTCCACACGCACCTCGACTCCCACACGGCACCCAGATTTGCATGCAGAAAGATCTGCCGTCATCAACAAAGCCACACAACTCCCAGCAGGAGGGACCCGAACTGCCCCCAGTTCACGGCAGTCACTCCCACGGATGAGACAAGCAGCTCCGAAGAGTCAGGAGGAAGAAAAAAAAGGAGGGAAAAGAATAAACCCGGCCAATTTTAAAGTCTGGAGGCCTGGATTTCCACAGGGAAGATATTTTCACGTTTGAGATACCGGGGGAGCGCTGCGAAGGTTTGGAAGTCACATATGCAGCCAAAATGGCGCTGAGAATAAAAATATAATTTAAAGGAAGGTCGCCATATTGTAAACAGTGAGGCAGGGAGACACAGAGACAGCAACCTCCATTATTCCCAGCAGCTGCAGCAGCACGGAAGCGCTGGGAACGTCAGGCCCGACGCCCAGC